AGACTCCAGTGTCTAAAGGGTGTGGTGAGGGAGCAGGAGAGCAGCGGCCGGACCAGAAGCAGCCCCACCTGGAAGGAGAGTCCAGGACAATTGGTGTTTTTACCTTCACAGAGCTCCCAGCATGAAGATCCTCCTGCTGTTGGCATTGATCCTGGCTTTTGGTAAGAGCAGATCTGGGTCTCTAGTAAAGAGGGGAGAGCCTGGGGGAGGGGGATGATGGGGGAAGAATACTCAGCCTCAGTTTCTCTGTCCACTGCATCAGACCCTCCCTGAGAAGAAGAAAGAGTGACCATGGGAGGGGAGCAGCAGAGGGGCTGAGAGGGAGGAAGGAGGTGCATTGGCACCAACCACAGCAATATTTTCTAGGCCTGCTGCAGACCCACGGCGCTTTGTGGAATTTTGGAAAAATGATTGCGAAAGTCACAGGAAAGAACCCGATCACCGATTACAGCTTCTATGGCTGCTACTGTGGCTATGGAGGCAAAGGATCTCCCAAGGATGCAACAGACCGGTGAGGCCACCCCAGCCCTTCCTCCCCTCTACAGATTTGTGACCGCAACCGGACTGGGGTGGGGGTTGAGGGCTCAAGAATAATGCTGTTCCCCCTAGACACAGGACAACTCACATGAAAAGAAGCAGGCATGTTGGGAACTCGGCTCTAGTATATTCTGAAATCATGAGTCTGCCTGTACTCAAAAGTGGTACCAGGGTGTCTGGATTTGCAGGGAGCCAGCACCAATGGGGTTTTCCTGTTGCAGGTGCTGTTTTGCGCATGACTGTTGCTACCACCATCTGATGAAAAAGGGGTGTGGAACTAAAGGTCTGAACTACGAGGTTTCTTACAGTGGAAGCCAAATCATCTGTGGTAAGCAAGATGTCTTACACCCAGTCTGTCTATGTGGTCATGATAATGGGTGATGGGTGATGGCAATGACACTGCGTTACAGGGGACAGTGGCCCAGTGCCTGTGCTCCTGGCTGAATGGGAAGAGAAGACAATGAAAAGACATCATAGTGAAGAGTCTCACACAAAATAAGGGAGAAGGGGGTGTCCTTCACACAGTCTGAGGGCCGCATGGGCTATGACTGGGGTGATGTCCCTGAGTCTTCCAGTCTGTGTCCGAGTCAGCGGATGAGGGACTGGCTTTCCCAGAGGAGTACAGAGCAGGCCCCAAGGGTCGTGAGGGAGTTGTCACAATTCAGTCAACACAGGCCCCTGACCACTGTACCCTCCCTGGGGCAGTCTCGGGGGGTGGGGGGAACCCTCACCTCAGAGGAGCAGCCTGGGTGGGTGGGAGCAACGTAAAGACTGAAGCAGGGGGACTGGAGAGAGGTGGCTGAAAGGAGGTATCCTGAGGGATTGCTGTGTCCCCACGCGAACACTGCGAGTACATTTGACAACAGGGCTCTCCCCCACCACCCTGAGCTCAGTCTGCTTAGACACTGCCCCCACCCTGACCTCTCCCCAGGGTTGTGGATCTTTTTTTTAAATTTTTATTAGTGAGACACCATGAGGTACAGTTAAAGCACAAAATTTGTAGGTTGTGGATCTTTAGCCCTTTCAGTGACAGCAGCAGGATGTTCAGGGTCAGAGCTGGTGTGGGGCATTTCCCTCACAGAGCAGACATCAGGGAGAGGGCGGGGCAATGGGCAGCTCCACCAACCAGCCTCACACCAAGGACCAGGCTTCCCCCATTTCCACACCATTCTGCTCGCCACCTACCCACAATCCACCAAGGCACTATTGTAGCCTGTGGTGTAAGAAGAGATTTCCCTGCTCTTCCATCTCTCTAACAGAGGGCATTATCTCTTCCCAGAAACCTTCACAGGCCTCCCCTTGTGTCTCACTGTCCAGAGCAAGGACACATGTTCCCTAGAGACCAACCAGTGCAATTGGGGAAACCAAGTCATCACCCCATCACAACCCAGTGCCTCCCATTGGGCCTTGCTCTGGCCCTGGCATGTGTGTTTCCAGGAGACAGGTGCTGACCTCTCAGTTTCCGGGGCTGCTGTCTATCCCCAACACAGGGAATTCACTCCCATAGAGTACCAGGTCTGTGTCCAGTGACTCAGGGCCATCAGGATATAGGTGTTTGTCTCACTATGGAACCTTCAGGGGCAGCTCCGCAAGAAATCGTGGAATATTAACCACCTCTCACCTCTGTTCACTTTTTTATTTCAGCCAAACAGAGCTCGTGTAGAAAACAACTGTGTGAGTGTGATAAAAAGGCTGCCCTCTGCTTTAAGAATAACAAGAAAAGCTACAATGCGAAGTACCGATACTATAACAATAAGAAGTGTAGTGGGAAGGCCCCCAAATGCTGAAAACCTGTGGAAATCTGCCACAAGGTGCTGATTCCTTCTCTCACACTCCCTCTACAGACCCTTATCGAGTTGCCTGGAAATTTCAATGAAGTACAAATGATTTTGGTATTTGAATAAAAAGAAGAGCTATATCATTGTTGTTTTTATTGGGGGTAAGGGGAACACACTGAGATTTTACTTCTTGCATTGCTCAGAGGACCTTTTAGTGCAAAGATCAAATTCCATCCTACTGAAAAGAAGGCAAAGCATGCCCTTAACCCAGTGAGCTCTCTCTAGCCCCAAAGGAAGAATTAACGTTTCCAGCTGCTCTGAGGAAGAATTCAGACAGTATATTTTTCAGCTTCTTCCCCATTTCAGCACAGGCTTTAGGTTTATATGTTTTTGACAAGTAGAATACCTTTGTTAAAGGAGAATTGACCCAGGCAGTAGATTAGAAGACAGCATTTATCATTCGGTGGTTTCCGGGTCATTCCCAACGAGATCTGAGGTAGGAAGTATTCTAGGTGTGAACAAAATGCAATCCTTGAGATAAACATTTATCATTTATTAATATGATATTTAGATCACTTATTAGGGCATTTGCCTTGCACGCAGCCAACATGGCCGACCCGAGTTCGATTCCTCCGCCCCTCTCAGAGAGCCCGGCAAGCTACCGAGAGTATTCGATATGCCAGACACAGTAACAACAAAGTCTCCAATGGAGACGTTACTGTGCCCGCTCGAGCAAATCGATGAACAACGGGAGGGCCTTTACCTTTACCTTTTATTAATAATTAATAAATTTATTAATATGATTAGAGAATTTCAGGGCACCGTTGTAAGGTCCCTAACCTACCAGAATGGCTTCAACAAAAGGCTGGAGGGTGAATTAGAGGAGATTCCCTCAGTGCTTCCACACTCAAGAGAATGTTTTGTCCAAAGAAGAAAAGTTCCAGGGGAGTTCACTTCTGTGTAGAATTTTATTCCACCAGATGCAGAGCACCCCTCTCCTAGCCTGGCTCCCTATGTTCTCACAGAGAAGCTCAAAGGTGGGCCCGAGTTTGACTCTTCCCCCTTCCTCGGGCAGCCGAGTCCCTGTTTCCAGGGATCTCGCCCCCAACTCCATCTTTTCAGCAGCAGCAGCCCCACCCTAGGGGGTGGCTCTGAATAAAGCAGCTCATTGAAAAACTGGGTGGCAGTGTGTGTGCCTGGGTGTACAGTCCCACAGTTATTGTGTGACGACAAATTGGTACCTGGTACTAGGGCGTAAGGGGCTAAACATATGGACTGTGTGAGACTCAATGCGAAGTCCCCAGCCCCCACTCTAACACTACCTCCTCATCTAAACGGAGGTGGCTTGGGTTCCACAGAGTCTTCTGTTGGGGACACTGGGAGGGGTAAAGGATGTGACCACAGCTGTGTTCATGAGTCGCTGTCATTATTATCACAAGGGAAAGCCAGAGTTTTTCCCCAACAAGAGCAGCTTTGGCTGGTCTTTGGGAAAATGGGAGCATAGCTCCAGATGCTTGGGGAAGCCATAAACCCTGTCTTCTGCGTCTCCTGTGTTGCCAGACTAGTGAAGGGGGTAGGGGTATGTGCAATGCTGAGTACCAGCTGACTCCTCAGGGGATCCCCTTACCCAGGGCCAGTTCTTGGACAAACCCCTCTGCAGACTCCAAGAGTATCTTCCTAGCTAACGCTTTATTGCAACTGGAAATTTTTCTTTTTGTAGTTGGTTTTGTTTTCTTTTGTTTTGAGTGAGGGTCACACCAGCAGTACTTAGAGATTTCTCCTGGTTTTGCACTCAATATCACTTCTGGTGGGCTCATTTTTGTCCAAAGGGTCTGCCATATGTAAGACAAGCAACCTCCCACTGTACTATCACTCTGGCCTCGCCTCTGGAAATTCATAACAGCAAGAGATCCTGCATTCATTTTGACACTAGGACCTGCCAGTTATGCAGCAGGTCTTAGCCACCCTGAGTATTACTCCTGTTCCTGTCATCCAGGGTTGTGCTGGGACAGTCCTATCTGCTTCAGCCCCAGCCACATCTGATATTTCAGAGCCAGAGGCAGCACTACTGGGTATGACTCCCCATACAAAGCACCATGCTTATGGGCTTTAGCCCTTGCACAATCCAGCGAACTCTGCATGTATCATTGTTCCTGGCTTTCTGTGAATGTTTGAGGTAGGGATGCTATTTTTCTAGTTTTGTGCAAAGAGGCTTCAGCTATTAGCACCAGCCCTGGTCATGTTCCCTCTCATATTTGATAAGAAAAATGTAAATTAATCTCCACTGGGGTGCCATTTTTACATAGAGAATATGGGGAAATCCAAAAACATGATACTTGCCTTTTCGCAAGACTATACGGGAACTTCAGCTGGCCCGTAAGAAGTCAATGGGTGAGCTGTGCTCACAGATACACAAATTGGTGTATTGATCAAACTCTCTGTGTGTTTATCTTTTTTGTTTGTTTTGGGCCACACCCAGTGGTACTCAGGTCTTACTTCTAGCTCTGCACTTAGGATCAGTCCTGATGGTGCTTGGGAGACCATATGAGGGCCTGAAGTTGAATCTGGGTGGGGTGCGTGCAAGGGAAATTCCCTACCTGCTGTACTATTGCTCCAGCCCCCTCATTTATCTTTTGTCTCGGTCCCTCACCTCTGAAATTTTAACTGCAAATGAACACAGACGCAATGTGTATGTCAGAGGAGTGGGGGACAGAACAGGACTTTATCACTATCTGAGTGACTGCAATGGAGCAGGTTCCTGGGGGATACCGCCAACCACACTTCTGAAGCTGGTCTCATTGGAATGGAGAGCTGAGATGTGTACCCCCAAGGTTGGTCCTGGTTGGTTTCTCTGAACAGATCAGATTCTAGGACCTGATTTTGCACAGGGAAAGATTAGATGCAGAAGGCCAAGAAACCTTTTGTCCATTCTGGAGATATCTAAGTGGGACAAGGACTTTGAGAAAGAGTTTAACTGTCTTTATATACTAGTCCTAACCCCTCCCTACACTTTCTATCTATAGATATTTAAAGAGATGAAGTGAAAATGTATGTCCATATAGATATTTATGTGAGGATACTCAGAGCAGCTTTATTCATATAGTTTTCCCAAATGGCCTTTGGTAGGAGTGGGCTTGGATCTCTAGCAATGAAGGGGACAGCCCAGGGATGGGGTTGGGGGAAGAACCTTCAACCCCAGTTTCTCTGCCACTGCATCAGACCCTCCCCGAGAAGAAGGGCAGTGGCAAAGAGAAGTTGAGAAGGACGGAGGTGCATTGGCACCCACCACGGCAATTTTTTCCCTAGGCCTGCTGCAGGCCCATGGAGCTATATGGAATTTTGGATCAATGCTCGGGAAAGTAATAGGAAAGAAAGCAGTCATCGACTACAGCCTCTATGGTTGCTACTGTGGCTTCAGAGATAAAGGAACTCCCAAGGATGCGACAGACCAGTGAGCCCCCCGCCCCCAGCCCTTCCTTCTCTCTGCTTACTCGCGACTTCAGCAGGACTGGGGGTACAAAGACAATGCTGCTGCTCCTTACTCACCGCTGAAAAGTGGCACAGATGTTAGAAATTCTGCTCAAGATTATTTTAAAATCAGAGGTCTTGACCCACGGCCAAGAGTGAGATCAGGGTCCCAGGCTCCTTGGAATTATGGAGAGCCAGCACTCACTGGGTTTTCTTGCTGCAGGTGCTGCTTTGAGCGTGATTGTTGTTACCGCCGTCTGAGGAAGGAGGGATGTAGAACCAAATTTGCCCACTATAAGTTTGAATACAAAAAGGACCAAGTCACGTGTGGTAAGCAAGAGCTCAAGCTTGTCGGTGTGGCCTCAATACTGGACACAGAGACAGAGATGCAGTGGACAGTGGCCTCCTCTCTCCCACTGTCCATGAAGGGGATGCAGTTTCTCCTTCAAGTTCTAAAGGTCTCAAGCATCTTCAAACCTCTGTTCCACCTACACCCATGCCACCAAGGCACAACACAATAGCTCCGTGGTGAGCTGTGACCTTGGTGTGAGAAGAGACTTTTTGGGGCTGGAGTGATAGCACAGTGGGTAGGGCATTTTCCTTGCATGCGGCTGACACGGGTTCGATTTCCAGCATCCCATACTGTTCCCCGAGCACTGCCAGTAGTAATTCCTGAGTGCTTGAGCCAGGAGTAACCCTTGTGCATTGCCGGTGTGACAGAGAGAGAGAGAGAGAGAGAGAGAGAGAGAGAGAGAATTTTCTCTGCATTTCTGTCTCTTTCTGACAGAGAGGCCCCCACAGGCATCCCCTTGTGGCTCACTGTCCAGAGAAGGGACACACATACCCCAGAGACCGATCAGTACAAAGGGGAAGCCAGGTCATGACCCCATCACAGCTCAGCACCTCCCCTTGGGCCTAGCTCTGGCCCTGGCATATGTGTTAGGAGGAGAGAGGGACTGGGAGGATTCTTTTCAGTCTCCTGGGCTGCTGTGTTTTGCCAGCACAGGGAACTCACTTCCTGAGGGTCCCAGGTATGTCTCCTGTCAGTCAGGACCAACTGGAGTATAGGTATCTATCTCACAATAGAAACTTCTGGAATCCAGAGTTGGGAGAAAGTACAATAAAAAAGCATAGACCAGTGGCCTTCTCTTATTTGTGTTTATTTTTCTATTTCAGTCGATGAGAATCCCTGTAGAAAGAAATTGTGTGAGTGTGATAAAACAGCTGCCCTCTGCTTTAAGGAAAACAGAAACAGCTACAATAAAACATACCGATTCTACAGCGGCCGGTCGTGTCAAGGGAAGTCCCCCCAGTGCTGAGACGCTCATCTCTCCAGCAGCCTGGTGCACGATGATAACTTCCCTTATCTTATCCCACTACATACCCTTGCCAAGTTACCTGGAAATTATCAACAATAAGAATTTTATGCATTTGGATAAAAATAATTTTAATTTCTCACTTTTAAACCCATGTTCTCTCTGAGCACATAGCTCTTGCTTGTCACATGTCTTTTTTGCTTTTTCCACTCTGGAGAAGCCTGTGTTCCCTCTTGAACACATACTTCCTCTCTTTCTCAGCCCTCATATCTTTCTAAATAAGTTTCAATAAAAACTTTCTTGCATTACCATTTTGCATTCTCCTGAAGTTTTCTTCTGTGAGGGAAGGGCAATGGATCCATAATGCCTGTGCCGAGGTTCTGTGGTCCAGTAATAAGTACTACATTATTATACTTCAGCTCCAATCACAAATAGGTTCCCAGAGAAGATGTGGAGGATTGGAGTGCCTCACAACATTTGCATCTGTATGACAGTAATGCCCAGAGTCCCGCTATGCACCGTGAAGGCAGAAACTGTTTCCATGGCTCTTCACTGTGTCCCCAGAGATGCACATAGTAACTGGTGTCTTTGCCCTGCAGATGTGATGGAAGGGAAAAGGAATCATCACATGTCCTCTTTCCTGTTTGTACGGTTTGGACGATGAAAAACTTTCCTTGGTGGCAAACATTATAAATATCTTGATCCAGGGCTGTTATCTCAAAAACCACTGGGTGGAGTCTTAAGCTAAAATTGGAGCCAATCCCTAAAGTTCTTCAAATTTTTTTGAGGGTGAGGCCTGAGATGCAAGTATTTTAAAAAATAGAACACACTGGTCAAGAACTATAAATGCCACAAATGTATTAAAAAATAATTTTAGTTTTTATTAAAAATATTTTGGTTTGGGGGGTCATGATTACTTTTTTTGGGGGGCGATCGACTACTCTTGGCTTTGTGCTTGAGGCATGATGTAGTGCTGAGGATTGAACTGGAGCAGGTCAAATTGAAGTTCACCTGCAAGACAAGTGTCTTATTCTGTGTTGTATCTCTCATTCTCAACTCTTAAGGCATTTTTGAGATCAAGGTATCAAAATAAGTTTTGATCAACTAAGTTAAATACCTTTGGGGCCATAGAGATAGTGCAGGAGGTAAGGACTTGCCTTCCATGTAGGTATCTCAACCTTGATCCTCTAGAATCTCTAGTACCACATACAGTCCTCTGAGCACTGCCAGGGGTCACTTCTGAGCACAGACCAGGAATATCCCTGAACATCACTGGCTTTGGCTCAAATCCCTCCAAACTTGAGAAAGTCCCTAATCCAATCTCATGATTTTCCTTTCATGAGTGTTGCAAAGGTTTAGGCATGCAGAAAACAGATAGCTCTCTTATTTTTTGTGCTTCCTAATAAGCCCATTAATTTTATTTTGTGTGGGAAGCCAAGAGCCCTCTCATAGACCCTGGCCATGGTTCCCATGTTAGGAGCTGCTTGGGACAGACATTGGTGACAGTCTCCCAGGTCTTCCTGATCTCAGCAGATACCTGATCTATAGCCACACATCAAGCTGACAGCTTATCTGGCCTTATCTATAGTAACCTCCAGGATGCATCTACTCCCTAAGACCCTAAGACTTGATATACAAATGTAAAGCTCAGGATGTACCTACTGCCACAAGACCCTTTGATCTGCAAATGTCTACCTTGAATGTTAGGTAAAGCTCTTGTTGCTGACCTTACCATATATGGTTATATTGCTTCTACTCCTGACTGGAGCGATAGCACAGCGGGTAGGGCGTCTGCCTTGCACGCGGCCAACATGGCCGACCCGAGTTCGATTCCTCCGCCCCTCTCGGAGAGCCCGGCAAGCTACCGAGAGTATTCGATATGCCAGACACAGTAACAACAAAGTCTCCAATGGAGACGTTACTGGGCCCGCTCGAGCAAATCGACGATCAACGGGAGGGCCTTTACCTTTACCTTTACCTTTACTCCTGACTGAGCTGCCCAGACCCTATATAAACAGCCTGTATCCCTCAATAAAGCCTGTCCCTTTTTCTCTCTTTTTCTATTTCTAAACTGTACTCTGTCTCTTGTGTCTCGTGTTCATTCGGTTGGTCCCTCCTTGCACCATCGGATCAATCCTCGGGCCACCTCCGCGGGCCGGAGAGTGGTTACCGGGGCCCCCTGCAATTTTGGACTGTGATTTTAAACTTAAAACTGGTTTTAGAAACTTAAGAAAGTTCATTTTGGCCAATGAACTGAGGTCATGTATTTAAAAAATCACTTTTCAAGCCACAATTATCTTTAAATTATCTTTTTAAAACCTTTTTAATCCATATAATCTTCTCCAATAAAAAGTTTGATTTGAAAACTCCAAATATTTTCATCATCCCATTAACCAGTTCAGAAATCCTCCAACTTGTGATCCAACAAACCAATGTATATTTGTTGTTTATCCAACAGATGCAAAGTTTACTCTCTACAAAACAGGACAAAAGTAACAAATTGACACATTAACATTTTTAATTAAGCCTTGAATCTTTTGGAGCCAGAATGACTATTAGAACTCCAGATATTTGCTTTAGAATTTCCTTCATAGTAACAACAAAAAGATAGAGCTTAGATACCATGAAACATCAACTATGACTCAAACATGAACAGAGCCCCAACATATAATTAACTCAAAGTTAAAACCACAGCATATCACAATATAAAGAGTGCAGGGCATATGAATAAACTAGCAACTCCTTCCCCCAAAGTCCTGGGGTGGTGCTGGAATGGTAGAGAGAGCTCAAACCTAGGGCTCTAAGATGGCTAGATAGCATGTTGTTCCGATGTCTAGAAACATCTGGGCTAGTTCTGCTTGTTACCTAGTTAAACCAGATTTGTTTGTGTACAATAGTTTCTACTTCACACTCTAAGTAGGCTTCAACCTTCCAGAGGTCACACAGGTAGTAGACTACAATTTCTATTTCTCATTGCACTTTGGGAGGAGATAATAGGCATAAGTGGCTACAAATAGATGAAGGATGAATCAATCACAGAGCGGGACAAAAGTCCATACTAGTCCCATCGCAGAGAGTATTCATGGAATTGCTCCAAGTCCGTATGGAAATGGGGTTCAGGAGGAGAAGAAAGGAATTGCCCCAAGTCACTTTGCCCATTCATAGAGGCAGAAGTGACCACACATACACATCTCGATCAACTGACTCCCAACTGTTCTCTGACCTTTGGGAGTGGCATGAAGAGCATCTGCCATGCTCTGGGAAAGAGGAGGGGGCAGATGTCTTTACAAAGAGGCCTGGTTGGCCTACTGACCTAGCTGCTAGTTTCCTATTCTGAGGCCCCTTGCAGTGTACTCTTCTCCTGGCTGGCTCACCCAGCTGTAACAGTGAAAAGTTTGGTTTCACTGCCACCTGAGAGCCAACTGAACAGGAGACACGGTAATAGGCTGAGAAGGAGCATTCCTGGCAGGAGACATACAGCAGGTTTGAAGTTGGCAGGCTCTGACCTCAAAACAAGCATCTTGTCTACCTGGTGACAAGAACTGGTTAAAAGGGAAGAAGGATAGGAAACAAAAATGCTTGCAAACTAGTGGACACCACAATAAACAATAAAACTGACTTGTGGGCTGGTCCCTTAAGGTACAATTCATCTTACCAACAAATTTAAATAAATAAAAGGGTTAGGCTTGTGGGGGAAGAGTAAATTGAGGAGCTTTGGGGCAGAGAATTGTTGTACCATATTTGATAGGGTTCAAATATGGTAACACCTACAATGGTGATTAGAGGTCACCCCGAAAGCCTCGATCCCTCTCAGAAAGACTGGCAAGCTACCGAGAATATTCCGCCCGCACGGAAGAGCCTGGCAAGCTATCCGTTGTGTATTCGATATGCCAAAACCAGTAACTACACCTGGTCTCATTCACCTGACCCTGAAGGCTTCACCGACATGGCAGCACTGAGAAGGATGAGAAAGGAGAGGCTGATAAAATCTCAAGGCCGAACTAGGCTGCCACAACGAAGGAAGACAAAAATGATCATCTGTACTTTGAATGCACGTATGCTAACATCAGATGCATCCATCGAGGACCTGATGGTACAAGCACGAATGACCAAGTACGACATCATTGGTCTGATCGAGACAAGAAGGCACGAATCTCACCATGCCGTTTTCGACACTGGAGAAGAATTTTTCCTTGGAACATGCGATGAAAGAGGTGTCGGAGGCGTCAGTGTCCTTGTCAACACAAACTTGGTCATGAGCATTGATTCATTCGAATGCCTAACAATCCGTATCAGACGTTTACATTTGAATAGATGTGGCTCACTGTCAGCAGTTTCTATCTTCGTTGTCTACGCACCAACATCTCATTATGATGAAAGAGAAATCAAGAAGTTTTACATGGAGCTGAAGAAGTTCTATAAAGAAGACCACACCTTCTACAAGATCATTGTGGGTGATTTTAATGCCAAGATAGGAACAAGAAGATCAGCTGAAGAACTTCACATCGGGACCTATGGCCTAGAATGAAACGAACAGGGTGAGAGACTGTCTGAGTTCATCATGTTGACCAAGACCATCCATGGTAACTCACAGTTCCAGAAGGCAGAATCTAAACGTTGGACATGGGAGTCTCCCGGTGGACGATTCCACAACAAAATAGACCACATCATATTCAATCGACGGTTTTGCCTGACCGATGTTGCTGTTGTCCCAAAATTCTGAACGGGATCGGACCACCGTCTCCTTCGTGCAAAATTTTACTTCACAGAGCGGGGAGAAAGGGCTGCAAACTTTAAAAAGAGAACTCCCAGAACGACCACCAACTGGGAGCTCTTTGGCACTATTGCGGCAACATGGGAAGATGCCATTGTTGACAACGTTGACGAGGAATACGATCGACTGGTTCAGCACCTCCATGAATGTGCGAGGAACGCCAAGAGAGAGATAGCCACAAAAAAACGCCGGTCTTCGAAAACTCTTGGGCTTATTCGCCAGCGTGGTT